TGCGTGCCACCGCTGTCTGGCCTCTATGTTTAATCTAGTGGCTTGTTCTGTTCTCTGACCTTCAGGCAAATTTTATTAGGGTACACAATCTATCGCCACAAGGCATCTCTTGAAAGGTTGCCAAACTTAATGTAAAACAAATTATAAAAAGGAACAACCCAGAAGTTCCACTGTCCTAAGTTGTGTAAGATGCAACTCCGTAACTGTAGGGTGAGAAATCCCAATTTACATACTCATCAAGTCTACCTGTAAAGGGGAGGGGAATTGAAAGCCACTGAAAGAAGTTTTGGGAATTCTATTACCCTAAAAACAGCCACAGGCACCAGTACACCAAGGGTAGGTTGCATGCTTCTGGGTTATACTGCCAGACCCACACCCTGAAAAGATTCAGAACTTCAATGTGGTTTTGTTTGGCAAGAGTTACCACAGATGTACTTAGTCAAGGTTCAAGACGAGCTCTTACCATGTCAAGTGCGGGGGGGGGGGGGGGGGGGGGGGGGGGGGGGGGGGGGGGGGGGGGGGTGAGTGCCTGCAAATCCAGTGTGTGTCTAGAAAGAGACAACAGCATACACAGAGACACACAGGGCTACATGAAGACGGGAGCAGGGACTGGAGCAAGTTATGTCTAAGCTAAGGAGTACCAAGGATGGCGGGCAGCCACGGGAAGCTAAGAGGAATGTGCGTTGCTATTTCCCTAAGAGTCTCGGGAGTAACTCACCCTGTTCACACTTTGGTTTTGGACTTCTGGCCTCCTGGGTGGTAAGAGAATATGTAACTTTTAAGCTACTCAGTCTGTGGATCTTTGTTACTGTCGTCCTTGGAAACAACTGTTAAGAGGTTTCCTTGTGTAACGCTCTAACTGGTAAAGCCAAGCAAGTAGGCACTTGGGGCCTTAGTAGGTTTTATGTTGCTATAACCAAACACTTGAATCTTGGGGAAGTCTGTCTGGAGTGAGAGGTGAAATAGAGAGGAGAGAGATGAGCTCTGAGTCATGAGGAGACATTTGTGACCTGGGGGAAGAACATTCCAAGTAGTGGAAACTCAGAGGACCAGAGTGAAGACTGAGAAGGGAAGGAGCCGAGCTGAGATTTAAAGAGAGACAGGTCATTGTGTGCAGGTGGAGGATGATAAATAGGAGAGCAGACATGTTATCTAGTTTAAACATGATGTCAGGTAATGATGTTCAGGCAAAAGGGGGCAGTGAGGTTCAGGGTGCTTCGGATAGATGACAGGAAGTAGAGATGAGATGCATTTTGTGGGGCTGTGGAGAAGTGGGTAGTTCTGGCTATGTGTGAGGCAGGACTAGTAAGTGTTAGATATGCGCCCTCTCTTGGTTCATTGTTATTCAAGATTTTATTAAAGCAACACACACAGGCATGCGCACATACCCTTCTTGCTTAGATCCATGAGCATTGCATTAGACAGAGAAACGGCTGTCATGTGCTTCTAATACACACTCACAGTGCCTTCTAATACCGATAGGAAATGTAGGAAAGAAAGACCCAGTGCAGTGGGATGTGAGCTGGAGGTGGGTCTTTGAAGATACATAGGGTTGAAGAGTCGCATTCCAGGTTGGATAAAGAGAGCCTGAATAAAACAGAAAGGTGGGTGAGGAATGTGCAATATTTAGATGAATGAACTCATCTGCAAGGATTATAGCATGAATGTAAAGTGAAAATGCCAATGAAGTTAGCTCAGCAAAGTGAAGATGGATGATAGGAGGGCTTTGAAGTCCAAGGTTGGTTGTTTGTCTTCTGAGACAGGTCTTCCTGTGTAACCGAGGCTAGCTTTGAACACACAGGGATCCGCCTACCTATGCTTCCTGAGTGCTGGGATTAAAGGCACGAACCACAGGCCAGCAACATTTTTGGAATGGGTCAGAAAGTTTAAGGGTTTTGTTCTGTTCTATTCTATTGAGACAAAGTCTCACCCTCGCCCTAGAAGTCACTGTGGAGCCTAGGCTGGCACCCAGCTATGGCAATTCTTCTGCCTCAGTGGAGTATTAGGATTATAGGTGTGCACTATCACACTGGCTGTAAAATGTTTTACAGACTGTACACATTCTCAAGTTGTCCATTGTATCATGAAAGCAGTCATAGATAATACTCTTAGGAATGAGCATGCTTGTTTCATTTAAACTTTGTAAGCTAATGAGCAGGCTAGATTTGGGCCTTAGGCTAGACAAGTGAGGCAACCCAATAAACGTGTCGCTAGGGTTATGAAGAAGCCGTGGACAGGCAGTGTGCTTTGTGTGACTCCTTAGTCCATCCCCACGTTCCTTTTCTGCCTCCTTCCTGATTTCCAGGCTTCCCATCTCATACCTACTTCCCTCGTACGAGCAGGGAGGAGAAGCACTCCCAGACCCAGGAGTCATCTCTGAGCCATCAGGCTCTCATATTCTTCGCACAGCAACTGCTTGCTCAACCCGGTCTCCGCAGCTACTACATGGTGCTTCTCAGGCATATATGTTGATTCAGGGAAGGTGCATGACCTGATTCGGGTCCTACGTTCACTGGCGTGTCTAGGAAAGAGATTTTCTCACTTTCTAGAACCACCAAATGGGATACTTTCTTGCCTTTGAAGGGTGGTATACAGCTGTATAACCTGGATTTCTGGATTTGTTTTTGCTGTTCCTAGAGAAGCCATGTTCAGAATGAAGCTTGCTTTTGTTTTGTTTGGTGTGTGTGTGTGTGTGTGTGTGTGTGTGTGTGTGTGTGTGTGTGTGTGTGTGTTTCCCTGAGACAGGGTTTCTCTGTAGCTTTGGAGCCTGTCCTGGACTCACTCTGTAGACCAGGCTGGTCTCAAACACACAGAGATCCACCGGTCTCTGCCTCCCAAGTGCTGGGATTAAAGGCATGTGCCACCACCGCCCTGCTCAGAATGAAGCTTGTAAGACTGAAGGCAGAGCAGAAAATGGCAAAGTTGACAGATTTTTTTTTTTTGGCTTGAGCTATTGACTCAAACCAACATACGATGGTCGTTTTATTTTGATTTATTTACTGTACTATGTGTATGAATGTTTTGCCTGCATTTATGTGCACCACATTTGTGCCTGGTGTCCACCGAGGTCAGTAGAGGGCAGTGGACTCTCTGGAACTGAAGTTAAGGTTGGTTGTAAGCTGCCATGTAGATGCTGAGAATCTAACCTTGGTCCTCTGTGAGAGCAACAAGTGCTCTAAACCCCAGAGCCACCTCTCCAGCCCTAAGATGTTTAGCTTTAATTATCAATTGACACTATATAATCACCTGAGAAGAGGATCTTAATGAGGGATTGCCTAGATCGGGTTGGCCTGTGGATATGTCTGTGGGGACCTGTCTTGATTATGTTAATTGACGTGGGAAAACCCAGTCCACTGTGGGCGTCACCATTCCCCAGGTTTGAGTCCTGAAATACTATGAATGGAGAAAGTGAGCTGAGTAGTATACATACATGCATTAATTCTATCTCTGCTCTTGATTGTTGGATGTGACTGGTTGTTCCAAGTTCCTGCCTTGATTTCCCTTTCGGGGTGGATTATAACCCTTACCTTTCTCTCTTAATGTTGCCTTTACCAGAGTATTTCATCACAGCAACAGAAACAAGACTGAAACACAACCTCAGGGCTGAGCTGCCTCAGTGGTTAAAGTGATCACCATACAAGTGCGAGGACTGGAGTTTAGATCCCAAATACTGAGTGGTTGTGGTGGCCTGTCTGTAATTCCAGCCTCTGAAGGCAGAGACAGGGGATCCCTAGAGCAAGCTGGCTAGCAAGACTAGACATATTGGCAATCTTTGTGTTTGACGGAGGGGCCTTACGTTAGTGAATGAGATAAAAGAGTAATGGAGGGTTTTTCCTAACATCAACAGGCACATGGACACACATACACAAAAACATGCATAAACACACACAAAAAAAATGGAAAGGAAAACAAACATAACCCTAACACCTATCCTACCTTGGACTTTCAGTTCTGTTACAGTTTTCTATTACTTCAAAATTAAACATTCCACTGTCCCTGCAAAATAATACGGAGTGAGCAGACAGGGAGTTGGTGAAGACTAAGTAGGTCTGAAGCGATTAAGGTGGACAGTAAGAAGAGAAAGAGATCCATGGCTAGGCCCCGGGTGGAGCTCTGGGAGTCCAATTAGCGAGAAAGAGGAGGGTTTATATGAGCGAGAATTGTTGAGACCAAGGTTGGACACATAGCCAAATGAATGGAAACACATGAACTATGAACCAATGGCTGAGGGGTCCCCACTGGATCAGGCCCTCGGAATGGGTGAGACAGTTGATTGCCTTGATCTGTTTGGGAGGCATCCAGGCAGTGGGACCGGGTCCTGTGCTCATTGCATGAGTTGGCTGTTTGAAACCTGGGGCCTATGCAGGATTGCTTGGCTCGGCCTGGGAGGAGGGGACTGGACCTACCTGGACTGAGTCTACCAGGTTGATCTCAGTCCTCAGGGGAGGCTTTGCCCTGGAGGAGGTGGGAATGGGGGGTGGGCTGGGGGGAAGGTGAGGAGGGCGGGAGGGGGGAGAACAAGGGAATCCGTGGCTGATATGTAGAACTGAATTGTATTGCAAAATAAAAAATTAAAAAAAAAAAAAAGAGTCTGACGGTCTGGATCATCAGAAAAGGTGACTTCATGTGGGAGGCTGCCCTGCATCACTCCGGCCAGCATTTCCACACTGAAAATGAAACCAAGGAACAGGGAAGTTGAGTCCACCCACAAGCAAATTCGTGTAAGAGTCAAGCGAAATTGTCAAAAACAAAACAAACAGTTCCTTGGGGCTTATGCAATCCTAGTCCAACAGATGACCTCACACTTGCAAGGAAAGATGTGTACTAGCTCACCACAAAGTCTATAACCAAGTCCAGAAAACACCCTGTAAAACTGGAAGAGTATGGAAAAGGGAGAGAATAAATGTCTGTGAGGATAGGATGAGTGAGGAGAACTTGCGGCTTGTAGCTTGGCATGGAGGCGGGAATAGATTAAGAATAGAAAGGGAGAGAGAGGGTACCTGGATGATGGACCGTCAAGTTCTTCTCAGAGGCCAAGGTAGGACCCATTGAGCCAGTCCATTGATGTGAAACTTCTGAGAATCCCAGGGGGCAACCCTGCAGGGGTCATAGGTGAGAGCTGCTGGAGGAAAGGCCAGCCAGAGTTCGTGCAGACTGGCTGAGGTTCTTCAAACTGCATTGATCAGGATGATGAGGACTATTGGGAAGAGGAGAGAAAATGGAAAAGGAGAGGTGTTGGAAGAAGGAAGGGGCAACTGTGGAAAGGAAGAAGTCTGGGACCGTGAGAAGAAAGTCAAGTGTGATTTCCAAAGGAAGCGAGGAAGATTCACATGCAAAGGAAGGCCATTTCTCAGGGATGCAGGGGTCGGTGGGGGCACCATGATGGAGAGGACCTAATTTTCTGCAGGTTTGTCTGTTAGCATTCAGGCATCTGTACTGGCCTGTCCTTAGGGTCCTAACAGAATACGTCCTCAGCTGGACCACTAAGAGCACCCCCTGTGCGCTTTCCCTACATTTCCTTATAAAAGGCGGGCCTTGCCCACCTCCCGTGTCCCTTGCTCTTCCACAGCACTTGTCCCCAGGGACTGGTCTCTGCCCCCTTCTCTGCTTCCTTCTCTGTCCCTTCTCTTTTTCTTCTTCTTCTCTCCTCAGCTCCTGTCGCTCCTGTCTCCCCAATAAACCATCCACGTGAGTTCTGTTGTGTGGTGTAACTTTCTGGGGCCCCTTGGCTCCAACAAGCCAAGATCGCCTTTCCCAGTTTTTAAATAAATTGTAACACTGTCTCCATTATATATCCTATTAAACAAAGTGTTACTTTTAAATTATCTCAACCAGGTGATAGGATATTATTGTTATCTTCAAGTTAAGAAACAGGAGGTAACGCGGAGTTTCGTAAGTTTAGAGTATCTCAAATGTCATAATGAAAAACTGTGGACAGAAAAGGATTAAAACAAGGAAATTTCAAATGTGAAAAAGTTAGGAAGAACAAACGTGGCTGGCAGTAAGCTTGACATAACTTCCTGCTTTGTACTTCTGAACGCAAAGCAATAAGAGGTGAGACATTAAAAAAGGGCAGCTTGCCGGGCGGTGGTGGCGCATGCCTTTAATCCCAGCACTCGGGAGGCAGAGGCAGGCGGATCTCTGTGAGTTCGAGGCCAGCCTGGTCTACAGAGCGAGTTCCAGGAAAGGCGCAAAGCTACACAGAGAAACCCTGTCTCGAAAAACCAAAAAAAAAAAAAAAAAAAACCAAACAAACAAATAAAAAAGGGCAGCTGGAGACGCCTGGTTCCTTTCAACAAATAAGGAAGGAGCTTGGAGGTTCCACCGTAATTGGGGGGGGGGGGGGGTGAATAGACCAAAAAATCAACAACTACCCTAGATCCATCAGAGAAGCAGAGTCATAGGGTAGTGCTGCCCCTGAAACAGAAGAGACAGACAGGCGGAGACAGAAAACAACTTACAAAGACAGAAACCGTTGATGTGTGTGATATGTCTCCAGAGCTTGTGAACTTACACGGCAACGTGTCTCAGAAGAATGTACTCAAAGCAGATGTGTGATGAAATCAGTACCTTGAGATGGAGAGTGTTTGGGATTGCCCAGGTGAACCCAACCTAATCAGTGAAAGTGGAGAAAAGGTCCAGACTGCGGTCACAGGAAAATGATTCCATGGAAGCAAAGCCACGGAGGCGCAACATGGCTGGTTTTGAAAATTGAGGAAGAGGGTCACAGGCCAAGGAATGTGGGTGGCTCGAACCTGGGCTGCACTGCTCCCTAAAACCTTGGGAAGAAACCAGCCCTGCTCACACTTTGTCTTTAACCCAGATGTGGGGCCGCTAACTTCCAGAGTTGCAAAACAGTAAGTTCATATGGTAATCCATCATGTCAATCACAGAAATTAAACAAACACAATACACAATATGCCTTAAGATGTTTCTCAGTCCCCTCCTTCCCCAATGCCTACCAAAGAGCCCAGCAGTCCTGAAGAATATATGCGGGCTACCTGAAGCCAGGATCTCTGGGGGATATACACCATCTAGGAATCCTCAGCGGATACTCCACTAGAATTGACAAGTTTTCCGGCAGGCAGATGGCCTGGTCACCTGGGTCATGGGCACATGCTGGCTCCTGGCATAAGATGCTTAAAACTACTGAAGAAGTCCTCAGACTGAGTTTGCCACTCAGGATGCCATTGCCTAAGGAATGCAGTGTGTATGCTCAGGACGGAATCGCAAACTGCGACTGCAATGTCTCATGAGGCTTGCAGGGAAACCTAGCTTGGGCTGGCTGGGTCCAGGTTTGCCTGAAAAGAGGAAACACTGAGCAGTCTGCCTGTGGTTGTGAAGAAAGCGGAAGAAAACTCCTGACCCACAATTAATTCCTCCCTCCCTCCCTCCCTCCCTCCCTCCTCTCTCCCTCTCTCTCTTCTTCCCTCCCTCCCTTCCTTCCAAAGACAAGGTCTTATAGTTGCTCCCTAGCCAATGATGACCCTTGAACTTCTAATCTTCCCGCCTTTACTTCAGTGGATGAGGCTGTAGGTGTATACCACTACACCCGATTTATGCAGTCCTGGGGATGGATCCCAGAGCTTCATGCACGTGAGGCCAACATTCTAGCACATGAGCTACACCCGCAGCCACTCAATTCTTGATGCTGCTCCAGGTACTTCTGTGGTGGCCAGCACTCTGTGACAGGTGGGAGCTAGAGGGCCTGAGATCTCTCAGATCATAAACCGTGCCTCCACGTCGAATGCTGCTGTAAAGGGTTTCAGAGGACTCAGGGGTCTGGAATCCACGATCTTAGGGCAGTGGATTCCTGGGCTATTATTCCCTTGTGGCTAGATTGGCAGGAATATGTATTTTTTTTTCTTTTTCTTTTTTCTGCAGAAGCTGACTTGGAGAAACAGGTTACCAAGGCAGGGAAGAGTCACCTGCCATTTGCCAGCAGCCAAGGCAGCCCTTTCCACCTCTCATTCAGGCCTCTTCCCATCCCCTTCCTCTGGGAGGGGTGGAATGGAGCTTCTTATAGTGGGCAGAAGGGAAGGGTGCTGGGAAGAAGTCATCACTTGGGCCTACCCAGCTACCAGTCACTTGGAAAGAGGAAAACAGGCCCAACATCAGGCTTGGTATCGAGCACAGGTGGTCTCGCTTCCAGGGAGATGGCTCTTTTGCTAAGGTGACTGTGGGTCAGATGGTTGGAGTAATTGGAGAGTAGTGTAAGCCTGGCAGTGCTGGTCTGGGATGGTCTCCAGAAGGCAGCAGCTGGAAATTTACGGCTGGCAGCTGATTTTGGCCTGCTTGAGAGGGGGCTGAGGAGCCGACACAGAGGCCTTCTGATTCTGATGGGTTAGAGCACAGCGCACAATCCAGCCAAGTCAATAGCAGGTGGACACAACGGGGGATCTGAAGCGACCCTTGGGGGCAGGTAAAAGATGGCAGGGTTAAATGATCACAAAGCTTTTTAAGACCTGGAGCCCCAAATCCAACGACTAGCTCCAAATTTGAGCCAAGAACTGGGGAGAGCAGGTGGATATGAGAAGCTGTGGAAACACCTTCCAGGAATTTCATCCAAAGATTTCTTTCTGTGAGACAGTTGGTTTTCCATTAGACCTAAAATGGAACTTGGAGTGACTTGTACAAGGGCATCTTCAAGGCCCTGACAGACATTATAAGCATTGTACTAGACATTTGACAAACATATAAGTCACCTACCCATAGTGGGAGTGATTGCTAGCCCTTGGGTCACACATGCTATCAGCCTTGTCTTTCCAGTAGTGGAGAAAATATGTTGACTTTAAGATAACATGTATTTCCATCCAGTAGCTGATACCACTCTATTACCTTCCTTGAATACCTTTTGTTGGTTTTTAAATCTCTTTGTACTTGATTTTCTGTTGTGAGCCTTTGATGTTGATTGTATCAGGAGTCCCTGAAGTGGCCCCGGGGTCTAGAACGGGCAAGAGTGACAGATGGGAATTTGAACAATGGCACCAAGTATAACAATTTTAAAAGGCACAACTTTTAAGGGACAGATGGGAATTTGAACAATGGCATCAAGTATAACAATTTTAAAAGGCACAACTTTTAAGGGGAAAAATGTAAGTGAAGGCTGTCACACACACCATACAGAAAGGATTTCTTACATAAAACAACAAAAACACAAGCCACAAAGGAGAAGATTAGCCAAGAGCCATATTTTAGAAGAAAAAAAAAATCTCTGGGGAAAAATAAGCGGAATTATAACTATTTCTTAGAAGCCAACGTTTTAAGAAATGGTGAAATATTGCACTAGAGTCTTGCTGCATAACCCACAGTACACCCCATGGGTCAGAAAATTACTCCACCCAGTAGCGCCTATAACATGGACTTTCAGAGTGGGATTTAGAAATGGCACCACATTGAAGACATGCTCTAGACCTACAAAAAGTATGGACAGTAGTTGTTTTGTTTTGCTTTTCCACACAAAGGAGAAACCAAAAAGAACTAGCAACAGCCACTGATAAAGAGTTCTGAAGGAAGATACTGGAGTCAGTGTGCCCTCTTCCTATCATGACAATATGTTTCTCCCCCAGAGAGTCTGATGTCCTCGAAAAACCTTCTGCCTTCTTCTTATACAATTAGTCCTGCTTGCTCATGAGCATGTTTGTAATTTCTAGAATCTGCATTAGAACCATGTGTAGAGGCTGAAGTATACTGTATAAAACTATATACGTGTACATAATACGTATGTACATACACATATCACATCCTAGACATGATGTCAATGACATTGATTTAGAAAGTCTGCCTGGGGCCCTGGCATGGATATTTTGGGGGGAATTATGTTCTACAAGTGATCTTGGTCTGAAGGCTTGGATGAGAACCAGCAGGACAGATTTTAGATTTCTGGCTGTGACTACAGAGTCCTCAATCCTATGGTTGCTCACCACCACTATGTTCTTCTTTATCTTCATTCACTTGACTTTTCTAGGTGTTGATTAAACCAACACACTGGAAATGTTCTGAACAAGTCATGTGGGGAACGGGTAACCTGGTTGCACCAAATTACTACCAGCTTGTAACAATAAAGAAATAAGAAAACTGAGATGCTGGGAACAAAGGAAGCCCTGAGTGAGTGAAGTCCTGAGTATATTGTAGACACGGGCACAGCCATAACGAGAACCAAGGCCTTGGGCCCATGGGAAATTGGCAAAGCCTTTCCCCATATGGGTCAAGCTCAAAATTGGTAAAGCCTTCTCCTTCTAGACCAAGTATGAGTGTTTATGAACAACTGATCAATGTATGCGAAGACTAGCAACTGCAGCTTCCTCCTGCCAGATGTTTATAGTCTGAGTCTGCGTGTCTACAGACGTCTCCTATGGAGACTGACCATACCGGCTATAAGTAATAAACACCATGAAGTTCCAGGTTGCCTGCCACAGTAGGTTCTCTCCATCAGAGTGCACACACCCCACCTGGCCCCGGCTTTTCTGTATGTGTACCTGTGTGTCTATAATTTCTTCATTCCCTCAATGTCCCTAGTCAGGGTTCCAGACCCAAGCCTTGGGGGTCACAGTACTGAGACATATGAAAAGACGCTGAGAAAGAAAACTGCAAGCTCACCAGGGCTGAGATGGAGGAAACAACGGAAATGCTGTTTGTTTGCTAAAGCCGCCCCCACAAGCGTGATCTAAGCCCCGCCCCAGCTATCTGTTTACCGCAGCTTCCTGTGAGTAGATGAGCTCCAGTGAGACTGTCCCAAAGCCCTTCTTTCCCTTTCCAAAGCTGAGGAGACAGGTTTCTCTTGAGTTGTTCTGTAATTGTTTTCAATGATGTGCCCTATCTCTTGAAGTGTCTAGCTAGTTCCATGAAAACGTTCTCTCCTCCTGTCTCCTCATAGGCTAGGCACCCCACCCTGTAGTGGAAGCCATGCTCTGCTCCTTCCTGGCTTTGCACTTCCAACAGGAGCAGAGGAATGGTAGACAGACTGGGAAAGTGGCAGTTCTCTCTGAACTCAGACACCTCACGCTGAACAGGGAAAGGGAAAGAGGACATCTCCATTTTATTTTATGTTATGTTATTTTATTTTTTGCAATCTCTGCTTGTGGTTTGAAGACAAATAGTTCCCCAATTCTCACCATAACACGAGTGACAAACTTCCAAAATATGCACAGATGGAACGCCCCTTCCAGTTACCAGTCTACCTCAAGTCTCTAGCACCTTTCTCAGACTGTATGTAGAGTTGGATAAGATTACATGCAACTAGAGGTTGAGGTGAGTTCCAGGACAGGAGGCGTGGCTGTGATCTCAGATGAGGGTCAGTGACCCTTCCCCTCCCTCCTTCCACCAGAGAATGTTGAGCTCAACATTGTGAGGGTTTGGGTAATCACATCTTCTCTGATTTTGAGACAGCCATGTCATACCCAGAGAACAGATTTGTTCATCATATATTTTCTGTGTCACAGCCCATGATGAGTTCTCATTCATTGTTTCAGCTATTGTGAGTTCCAAAAAGCATCTGGTTACTCTTCTGCCAAACCGAGAGTAAAGTCTGGATAACTCCCACTCTGTTACTTTCGTTTACAGTGAAGGAGGTAGCCATGAAAGAGCAGGTGTTTCCGTTTCTAAGTGACTCTAAATACAGAGCATTCACAGTCTTGTCTAGGTTGTATCTAGCCCACGAGTCAGAATGCAGCAAGTATTTATCAAGTGCCTGTTGTATGGCAAGTGTTGTCATGGTGAGAGCGATGTGGATACATCTACCTGAAAGAGAAGGACCTGCCCCTTCTAGCAGAGGAGACGGACCCCCTAAAATATATTCTTGACATTCTGGTTTTATTTATTTATATATATATTTTTTTGTTTGGTTGGTTGGTTTTTGTTTTTTTCAAGACAGGGTTTCTCTATGTGCGGCCTTGGCTGTCCTGGACCTCACTCTGTAGACCAGGCTGGCCTCAAACTCACAGAGATATGTCTGCCTCTGCCTCCGAGTTCTGGGATTAAAGGTGTGTGCCACCACCGTCCAGCGACATCGACATCTTAATTCGGTGATACTGGGGCTTAAGTAAGGTGAGCTGAGGTTTGCAATTTCCCTCTCTCCCTCCTTCCTTTCCCGTGCTATTTACTGAGCAGTCTACCTAGAAGCTGCCAAATAAAAATTAAAAAACAATCTCACTCCAAAGTAAAGGTTAAATCTGAAGTTTCCTCCACTGCTGGTTACTGGTTAGTTTTGGTATTTGACCTTGGACACCATCCAAATTTAAATATGCTTTTCAGATTTTTTTTTTTTTTGAGCTGAGGATCAAACCCAGGGCCTTCAGATTCTTTTAAAACTGCCCATTTAACTAGTCATTTAACTAAGCCCCCTTGCAGGCGAGGAGACAAGTGCATTTCTTTCTTTTTCGTATTCTTTCAAAATAAAGTGGTCAAAAGAAAACCACAAGTATGGAGAAGCTAAATCTTGAAACAGATTGTCTGTGCCCCCAAGGTTCTATTTTATGGTTTCTGCATCCTGTCTTATCTGATTCACTGATTTTACTTGTAATTTAACAATGCAGCTCTGTTTTCACAGTTTTTCTGCTCGACTTCTTCAATTCTGGTCCAGACAATGGCCCCGATTTATTTATCCATATTTGAACCTTACCTATGCTCAATAACAAAATCAATCGCCAGGTGAGATGGGCAGGCTCTGCCTCCTCTCACTGCTTAAGTGTGAGTATTTCAGTACCAGCTTGAAAGGGAGAGCGGAAAATAACCTCTAAGGTGCGTGTCAAAGCACACACACCTGTAAGCATAGGCAAAGATAATTTTTCAGGGCCTTAAAATGCCCTGAAATTAAGTTAAGTTACAGAATTTACACCAAAGAAGTAAAACATTTAGACGAATATTAAAATTCAGCTACAAAATTAAGCCAAGTGGAAAGCAGGGAAAAATAAGAAACCGGTTACTGAAATGAAACAGCCACACGACAATTCTTTATAACAAAGAACTCACATTGAAGAACATTTCAACCTTCTGGTTAGCTGGTAGGCAAGGTAGGCAATTATAATTTATCCAGCCCTTCCAAAGCCTTTTATAGGAGGCCTATCAGATGCCACAGAAGGCACTAGTCTGAGCTCTACGGATAAAGAGATTAACAACCACAGGCCTTTGCCTTTTCTAAGTTTATGTACTGCACTGTGCCAGTGCTCTAACACTGTTCTAGTTTATGGTGGGTTTTTCACGCTTACCTATTTTTAACAAATGGTAGGTGAATACAAGGGTTATGATTGAGTCTTGTTCACCATTTCCTTATAACCAAAATATGTACCTTACAACTTATTGTAGATTTTTGTTCTTTTTTTTGGTTTTATTTTCAAAGTCTAATTTTTATTCAGATTGAATGTACAAGCAGAAAAGTGAGAGCTAGCTATAAGCAGACACTGATGTATCAAATTCAAAGCGATGGACTGTTAATATATCCTTTTACATTCATATGTACGTGTGCTGATGCCTTCTGGAGTATTGTCAGCTCACAGGACAGTGAAGGGTTTTTCATTCTTTCATCCAGGAGTTGCATATGGGAGTTTTAAAACCAAATATCTAAACTTCCAGGGCCTCAGCTGGAAAGAATAACTTCAAGAAGACCATTACAGATAATGCCTCAAGGTTTCAGTTTTAGGTCTAGAACCAATTCACTCCTTGTACCTTCTTCCTCCTTTGAGATAGCTCTTCCTTTCACTTCCAGGTAACGGAAGTTTAGAGCTGGGAAATACATGAGAGACTCTCTATTCTGATTCCTTCTCTTTGTTTCAGTGGATGAGGAAATACTTAACGTTCACTGTCTGCTCTTCTTTACCTCTACCAGCAATCAAGTGCTACAGTTCTTCTGAAATACCTCTCCAGCTTACTCCATTTGTACTGCCATCAGCCCGGAGTAGGTTATCTCCTTCTGTCTTAACTAGTCCCAAAGTCACCATACGGTTGTTCTTACCTTTTGTCTTCTAACTTCTCCCGGGAAATCCACAGAGCAGATCACATAGCATGAATACGATGACATGTTCCCGTGTGGGGAAAATGTACCAATCTTCCTGTGTGGTCAAAGGATAAGGTTCAAAACCCAGATAACGTGAGGAATTCCTACAGGTTGGCCCTAACTTACCTTTCTAGACTTATCTTTCAGTAGTCCTCTAATAGTCAAAGTTCATTAATATTTAGTTTATATTTTCTAAGCAGAAATTTAGTCTTGAGATAACTGAGGTATTAATTTTTTTTTTAAGTAGGTTCATGGCTAAAAGTGAAAAAGACAAAGAATGAACCAAGAAGTGAGTAGGCTGCATTTTAAAGAAAAGTTTCAATTCTGTTCACCTTCTCTTAAGTTTCATATCCTTAAACCTACTCTTGGCTCATTATGATTTTTCTTAGTAAACTGTATAGTATTGTACTTGTGCACTAAAGTTGCATAGACAGAACAGTTAAATTGGCAAAGCAAGATTTTTTTTTTAAAGAAATGCTTATAAAGACACTGAGATCAGGCTTTAAATATGAAATAATTTGGCTCCAGAAAGTTGATTTAATGACAGAGCCTCTTTAGTTGCACACTTTGACTTCAAGAAGCCTCGGTAGATTTCTACGAATACTAGTAGATTCCTAAGAGAATATATATGCCCAGAGTTTCCTCCACAATAGAAATAGAAGCAGTCATCGCTGACAATTTATTCTAAATCAAGCACACAACTTGAAGCTTACATTTTAATCTCTTTTGATTTAGGAGGGTCAAGGTCAATGCTACTTTGGGAAAGGTAGGAGGCAGGGCTTGGACTCACACACTTAAGTCCTTGCTTTTTGTACTCTATACTATCAAATGACGAGGCTAACCAAGAGAGGAACTGACAGGATTACTGGAGCCTGAGGTTAACCGAAAGGATGATGGGCATCCCTGATTCTGAACAGGGGTGGAGGAAAACAACACTGGCAAGCCCCAGCCGGGAAGCCATCTTGTGGGAGGAGGAAAGCCGGAAGTACTCAGCCTGGACGAGGCCTGAGGGCGGGAAAGGGGCTGCGTGGGAGGGCTGGGGGGGGGACCTGGGGTGGGGGAGCAGGGCGGAGCCGTGTCTCTTGGGCTTGGGGGCGGGGCCTGACGGCGGGGTGGAGACGGACAGCTGGGATCTCCAGGCTAGGGGCGGGGCCTTAGGGTGGGGCCCTAGGGTTGGACGGGGTGTGTCACTGGAGCTTGGGGGTGGGGCCTGACGGCGGGGTGGAGCTCTGCCTCGTGGAGCTCCAGGCCGGAGGCGGGGCCTGGGGCGGGGCGGAGCTGGGTCGCGCGCTTTGGGGGCGGGGCCTCGCGGCAGGGTGGAGACCCGCATCTCCGACCTTCAGGCCAGGGGCGGGGCCTGAGGGCGGGGCGGAGGCGGGGAGGAGGTACCCGGCCGCAGACGCCCAAAGGTGGCTGACAGGGCCGCAGCGGCTCACCCCTCCCTTTCTCGGAACGTGGTTAGGCAGCTGCCGCTGGCACACGCCGCTGGGAAGAGAGGGCTGGGGGCGGGAGATGACGGTGGAGTGCTCGCTGCCTGGCCCTCTGCGAGCACCGGCTTCCTTCTCCTCGCAGCCCGGGCTGCGGACCTAGCAGGTGAGATGAGCGCCGGGAGCGTGGACCTGCTGGGTTTTACTCCTGTCCCTGCCCCTGGGGTCCGGATCAGTGGGCAGCGCCAGGCTCTGGTGTGTGTCCCCGGCCTCGGCCCGTTGCTGCGCCTGTCTGCCTCTGCCCCGCAGCGCCTACGCCTGAAACCTGCGGGAACACTTGGGATGGTCCGCGCTGAAGGGGGCGACTTGTCCCCTTGGTGCCAGAGCTGCATCCCCAGGGTGCAGAGCGCCCCGTTGCACGTGCGCCTGCCTACCCTGTCATCTGGGACTTTTCACTTTATCCCAAGGTGGCCTCAGTATCTGCCCTTTCTGAGCGCCTCTGCCCAGGTACCTGGTGCTTTGCGCCAAATTTTCTCCCTTCTTTATGGAGCACCTAACGTGACTCCCATGCCCTGACTTTACACTTCCACAGATGCCAGTTGCCCTCGGGGCCATCTATTCGGTTAGGGACTCTGCACTCTTTATCTTGGCGGGCCAAAGTCTGTCCCTTGCAGATAGACAAGGGAAAAAGTCAGTGAATGGGGTGCCTGTTGATGTTTAAGAGTTCTTTTATAGTGCCACACGGCATTAGGTTTTTCTCATGGAGAAAGGATATTGGGTGTTTGAGAAAAGAACAGCCTAAGAGTTTAAAGCTTTCTCTTTCAAGTTAACACTACACCACATTTTAACTTAATAGCAATTAACCTACAATTTCAGTGCTTTGGTGATGTTATCTAAGTCAAATATAAAGTGACTAGACCGTTTGATCACTTCATTTTCTGGTGTCTGCCTTTTGAAGTGACTTTTACAGTGGCGGATCAACTTGTTTGTTCTGTAACAAACCTTGTTTTTGTAGATTAAAGGACTGGATGTCATTTTTTTAAAAAACTTCCTTTCTTGTGGTGCTTGCTCATCTTAAAATGTGCTTTGGAAGCGGTTTTTTTTTTCACGTTTAAAATGGTATGAGATAAAACTTCAGGTTTATTTTTATTTTTTCCCTTCTCTATTTTGAAACAACCACTAAGGTAAGTCCCGACTGGCTTTACTTTGTAACTGAGGCTGGGTTTGAACTCATCATCTTCCGGCCTTTGCCTTCCTAGTGCTGGGATTACAGGTGTGTGATATTATTGTCAGTCTAGAAGTCGTTTTAATTTTCATTTGCCTTAGGAACTGTTGCTTTTATAACGCTGGGGGAAGGGCAGATTATTTTTTAACGTTTTTCTTTTTTTAATTTTCAATTAATTGAAAGTTGAACCTGGGTGTTGCTTTACCTATTGGCCATCATCTTGATGAAGAGGTCTTTGTTCACTGTCAATAGACACTTAAAACCAAACTAAATTCAACTCTTCTTAGTTGGTGGGTATAAAACAGAGCCTGGTAACTTTATAACACATCCCAAACTGGTAACTTTATGGACAATCTAGTACTTTTATTATTGGGGATCTGTAATGGCAGGTGTGTTTGTAGAACTACTTAGGACAGTGAATGCTCTTTACTTTGTTACCATTCTAGACATTACCAGTAGGTCCACAGTCTCTCCGCCCCTATCCCTCACCCTCCGGTTTATTCCTTGATCGTTAGGTTTGTGTTTGTTTGTCTGTCTGTCAAGGCAGGGTCTCAGTGTGTAGCCCCAGCTAGCTTTGAGCTTGTGACCGTCGTGCCTCTGTCTTCCAGGCTTTCCAGCATGGCACACCACCCTTGGCGCTAGGACTGTTGTTGCCATTTCTTGAAGGCCTATTCTGTGATACGCTGTGCATGAAATACCCTTTCTATACAGTATCGCTCTAAGAAGGTTTCCCCTCATTTTAACAGTTAGGCATGATTAAAGAAACCGACTGAGGGAGGCAAAGTACTTGACCCAAAGAGTTGATAAAGGTGAAGCCTTAAAGTCGTCTCTTTTCACTTAACTATTGCTAATTAAGATTGTTGTTTTAAAAAATATACAACTACACTTTTGTTCCTATGTTGTCCAAATAAGAGGTTGCGAGCTATCCAAGTAAAGAAATACAGGGAACTTTGGAAAGGCATCAGAAGTCTGGGCCAGTTTCTTACCTCCTTTCCCACTCACTACCTTTCTAAGAACACTTTTCTTAGGGGCTCCAATGTTTAATACTCAAGTCTGATTGTTGATCAGATCCTTCAAGGATGGCCATGTGTAGGTCCAGAAACTGGCTATATGTCCCAACCAGAATCTATCTATGTGTCCCTACCAGAATCTAGCAATGTGTACCAACAGAATCCAGCTGTGTGTCCCAACCAGAACCTCTCTGGGTGTACCAACAGAATCTGGCTATGTGTCCCAACCAGAACCTCTCTGGGTGTACCAACAGAATCTAGCTATGTGTCCCACCCACCAGAACCTCTCTGGGTGTACCAACAGAATCTGGCTGTGTGTCCCAACCAGAATCTAGCTATGTGTCCCAACCAGAACCTCTCTATGTGTACTAACATAACCTGGCTATGTGTCCCAACCAATACCTGGCTATGTATACCAACCAGAACTTCTTGGTGTACCTTTCAGTATAATTTGGTGCTTATTTGGTAAAACTCAAGTATGTGAACATTGTGGAATTGGTTTCTATTGGCCACTCCTGTTTAATCCTGGTAGAAAAAAGAAATACTTGTCTTAATCTCAATTAAATATAAAGTTTTTTAAAAAGGATTTGGCTTCTAGAGAGCAGCATAGGGACTGTTCTCTTATACAACCCCGTGTATCAGTTGATGACCTTTGGCTTGTCACCTGGGTCTTTTGAATGTGGTGTGGGTATTTGAGAATTTAACCAAGCTTTGCAAATTGCAGGAAACACCAGATTTTCCCTGTTTTACGTAAGGTCACTTTAGATGGTAAACCTAGGATGATCACTTACTTAGAAATTGGTATGCTATTATATTAATTCCAAATTGCTAATAAAAACGGATTCATCTCGGAATTATCTAAAGTTTGTGCTGATTGCGTCTCTGGCAGCAGGAGGAGGGGGCTATCAGTTGCCACCTTAACACACAGAGCGTGCTCCTCAAAACTTCTTGAACATCTTTATAATGTTTTAGGATGCAGTTTGTGGTTGGTGGGGGGCTGTTACTGCTGTGAGAAACGTTTCTCATTTAGAAAGAGGGATTATCCACTCATGAACTAGGTAATACCTAAGAGAGAACTGACCGTGAGAGAAGAGGCTGATTTAAGAACAGGTTGTTATTTAATGAATTTGGTGAAAATTTTAATGAATCAAGTTTTTTTCTCAGTGCTTCCTATGTGCTAGATGTTAGGGACACAGGAATGTGTAAAGACATGCATGGTCTTTGCTTTTGTGACATTTAAAGTCTGTGAAAGGAGTCAGGCATAAGGCAGTCATTTCAAGGCATTGGGATAAACAAACAAACGGGGAAAAGCAGACTGAAGGGAAGGATCATGATTTTATCTGAGGAAGAATCATGCCTAACTGTGTGATTAAAGAAACCTCACCTGATGAAATGATTCCTGAACCATATGGTTGAGTTTGGAGAATGGGTAAGTGCTAATTATGTGGGTAGTACAAACGGCAGAGAAAATGTTAGTGTGAACTACATGTGTAAAGGGGCTAAGGAACTGTAGGCCAGCACGTGTGCTTACGTAAAAGGAACCAGTCGGAGGCTGGTGGAATGCCATTTTTAAAAATCACTTTTTTCTTTCCTAGGTTTCCTTATACTCCACCAAAAGCTATATTCTGCCTTGGTTAGGTGATTACTGTGTGCTGGCTGTGATTAGAGCGTAAGGACTCTACTGATATTGCCACTTTACAGACGATAAAGTGAAGCATAAAAAGTTAAGTTCAAGTTGGTAAGTCATACCCTGTTATGATTCTCCCTTATGCTCAAGCATGACCACAGGCTAGAAAGGACCTCTGGTTCCAGTGTGACTCCTTAAGCTATCCCTGAGAACCTCTGAAGTTTCTAGAGAATCTGGGTGCAAGTGAGTCCTTTGCAGACACTGGGCCTCCTCCTCTTGTCCACTAGATGGAGGTGGATTGTGGATCCCTGAAGAGAACCACAGGGCATCACTGCAGCTGTAACATCTGTGGATCTTATTTTACTCTTGTCTGACACTAAAAAATAGAATGGTAACATAAATATTTGGAGCTGGCCTACCTTTAGAGTGAAACACCTCTCCCACCTCCTCTCCATTGCGTTTCCCCCTGGTGGACATGGAAGAGAGTATGAACATTTATTTGGTCATTTAGTATGTAAATAAGTCCAGGTTTGCAGTGTTCCATTTCAATCTGAACCGTGGTTAGTTGTAACACTGAATTTTCTTTTCTTTTCTTTTTTCTTTCTTTTTTTTTCAGAGGCCTTGCTGGAGGTGGAAGAAGATAGAAAATGGATTCTTATTTTTCAGCAGAGAACTCAACTCTTGCCATTAATGTAAATGAGACTTTGTCTGCAACAGTAACTCATGGATTTAATT